CCCCAAAACCCCAAAACCCCAAAACCCCAAAACCCCAAAACCCCGAATTTTTAACACATTATTGAAAACTAGAGATGTCTGAAGGCTTGATTATATATATGCATATCCTGTCTCCGTATGCAAAGACTGTTATTGCCACAGCTAATCACCTTGATATTCCTCATACTGAGAGACATATTGATTTGAGGAAAAATGAACATAAGAGTGAATGGTAAAATTTAGGATCAAGAATTTAGGTACTTAAAGATCAACCCAAATGGGCAAGTACCTGCAATCAAAGATGGAGATCATACAATGGCGGAATCTATTGATATCGCTAAGTACCTCATTGAGTCCAGAGACAAAGGTACTCCATTATACCCTAATGATGATGCCGAAAAGAGGGAAGACATTGACAGAGCCCTTGAAATATCTCAAGAGTTAGGAAAAAGAACCACTGATGTCTTGCTAAATGTATACTGGGGAAGAATCTTGCGCAAGACTAACCTTACTGTTGAAGAGCGTCAGGGATTTATAAAGTAAGGAATTTGAGGCAAGATCTTATGTTTTATCCAAGAAGCTTATTCCTAATCTAATATGATATAGTAAAGTCTATGAAACATATGGAAAGCTAAACACACATTTAGAAGAGAGAAATACAAAGTACTTCAACTCAAACTGTAAACTTAGTTATTTACTATTTAGTCCATCCAAGTTTGGCGGATTTTCATATCAATAATCTTATGATGTCACTTGTAGAGAAAAACATCGTTCAGTTGGACAATTACCCAGCTCTTAAGCAATGGCTAGAGCTTTCTTCCCAGGTTCCAGCCTTATCTGATGTCATTAGAAGGTCAAATGCAGCCATGAAAAAGATCAGGTTCTTGGTCAGATTTGTTTTGCCAATGATAAGATGCTTAACTTGAAAATGATGCAGGTAATGAAGAGTCACAAATAAGGCAGTTTGGCAACCTTTTTTATCAGATTTCAATATTATTAGTTCATCAAGGGGTTTTGGGGTTTTGGGGTTTTGGGGTTTTGGGG